TTCTGGAAGCCTTTGAGAGGTTGAAGATCATGGAAAATAAACGACTTCTCTCTTGTAATACTTTCACCAACTTAAAAAAACAAAACATTGCTGTATGAATGTTACTTTTAATTAACTAAACTCTTCTAACTAAAGAATGCACTCCATGGTGTTACTTGGCTCTGTTTACAATCTTCTCCGAAAAGTAAAGTTGATTCTTTCGGCTCATTTTTTTCCTACTAAGTCCTACTCAGGTTTAAGTAGTTAATAACTCTTTGAAGATTCTTGCTTTCTTTTCATATGGCAACTACAAGAAAGCACGCATAAACACGTGTGGGTGCTTGCACACAGATGTTCTCAGCTGGACGAGGTCTCTTGATGCTGCACCCTCGCTGTGCACAGTAGGGACAGCTGTTGGGTAGCTTTTAATCATTTATTCTTTTGAAGAAACATCCGGGCCAGGGGTGAGCGGACTATGCCAGTGGGGGTCATGGCAAACTTTGTCAAAAGCAGTGGTATGGTTGAAAGTGGCAAGAGGGGTGCTTTGCTGGTGGCCTTGAGGGAAGATATATCTGATGATCCAGGATACCAACATGACAGACAGACATTGCACGGTTAATGTATACAAGCAAGTGCTTTCCAATTGCCAGATGCCTCCACTTCTCATTTTGTGTCCTTTACTTTGCGGCACAGTTGTTGTGTTTGATTCCTCACAACAGGCCATTTCACACTGCGTAGCCATGAACACCCTAGCGTGGCCTTCTCCACCCAGGTCCTCTTCCAGCTTCTGCTCTTGCCTTGTGTGTCCAGCATGGTCAAGTGGAAGAAAATAGCTTGTGCTATATGGAGCTAACCCAGGCACAGAATGCTAAATAAGTATTTCGTCTGCAGTCAACAGGAATGTTGTTGTCTGGTTATTTTTTTTTTCTTAAGTAGCCAAAGGTTTGTAATAGCTTAAATTAAACATGTCACCTTCCTGGGATTGCTTTCCTTCCAATTAATGTAGACTAACAACATTATTAACTGTCCTCTTCTCTTCTCTTCTCTTCTCTTCCAATCCCGCCTTCCTTGAAGCAACCTAAACTTCAGAATTCTCCTAAAGAGATTTTCTGGTTAAATTAATTTATTTCTCCTTTTATTTGCTCAATTTTTATTCAGCCAAGTCTGTCTTTTTACACTGAGTTTCTCAGTAGGAGAAAAGATGGCTAGCATACATGGGCAAAACTGTTGAGGGTTAGAGACAGGAGGTAGTGTTGGCTGGCCACCCACCCACATGTGGGGATAGAGAAAAGGGACTAAAAAGATAACATTCTGTGTACCAGGTATTTTTTTAAAAAGTCTCCCTAGTTCAAGGAAAGTGATCACACCCTATTTCTTTCCTCTCCATTTTCTATCACCTGTTTTGAATGGAGCAGGGCATAAATATCTAGCCTGGCTTGGTTTCTGTGGCAGAATCTTTAGGGAAACGTTTGGAGCTACTTTCCTAACCGTTGGAAACGGGCTACTTCGGATACGTGCTGTTGAATTTTTTATCTCCTGTACGGCTGTCATTTATCATTTGTACCGCTGTATCATATAATGTCCCCTTATAGCAGAAGCGTGATGGTCACTCAGCCATAGAAAGGTGGGGCTTGTCAGAATTCAGTGTCTTGTCAGAATTAAACACATATTGCTCATATATTCCCAGATTGTTAGAGAGGGAATATCTCTAACGCTAGCAGATATTCCCTCATCCAGTGAAGGCTTATGGGTGTTCTTTAAATAATAATAATAATATCTCTGTGCCATTGGCATGCATGACCCTTGATGGGTTCCCCCAATGAACTTCCAATCTTGAAGGGTTGTGCAGAGGGGAAGCTGGGATAAAGTGAGCTGGCTTAGAATTATGGTCCTTGTAGTCCAGGACATCTGGAAGACACTAATTTGAGGCAGGAGAGACGACGATTTAAAGATATTGGTGGGTGCCACTCTTCCATGGTGGCCCTGGGGAGATTTCTCCCTGTTCTCTGCCACTTTGGCTGATGTGTCCCTGGCCCTCCGGATGGAAGTTGGTCAGTTTGGATTCGGGTTTGTTCAGTGTCTTGATTCCTGGATGAAGTTTTCCTAAGAAAACCCTGTTCGGAGCACTTGATGGACTGGGATGTCCCAGCCAACGTTTGCAAAGAGCTGCACCCTATTTCACCGTATGGCAGAAGAGCCCAGCGCCAATCAGCGCCAGCCCTGCTTAGACATTTTTGTTTTGGGAGGTCAACCCAAAACCAACTAGAGGCTGCTTGCTGCCAAAGCCCCCAACAGAAGGACAGGAAGGGGGGAAATGGCCAGGGAGATGCAGGCATTTTGCAGCATCCATGAATGTGGCTGCTCTGGTCCTCTGAAGGACTGCTCTGCCTACTCTCCCCCCTAATAATTGGTTTTGTAGGGTTTAAAAAACAAACCAAAACACCAACCACGGACCAAACTGTTGATCAAGCCATCTGTTCATAGCAGCAGCCAGGGTGCCCCTCTTCTCCCACCTCCCCGAGTTCTGGCTCTTCTGTTCTCCCCCCCCAGCAGAACATTACATCACTTGTCCTTCTAGATTTGCACACAGCTCATTTGGGGAATCTGTTTTACGCACTTCTGTGATAGTTCTTCCATTTTTCGTGATAATTCTGCCTCCAATTTAACTCTTCATCCTTTCAGACACCATAATGGAGCCTTTGATCAGCCAGCCGGCCTGCTCTTCCTTGCAGATGAAATGTACTTCCATTTCATCCGCGACCAATGAGGGAGCAATTAGATTAGCACTCTGGCTTCCAACAAAGCAATTTTCTTTACTTTGGAAAGCTCCGTCTGCAGACATCACCCTTGTCGTCCCAATTCTGTTCCTTAATCTGTTGGTGACCTAGCTGGCCCAGATCTTTCCATCATTTCGTGGAGCGGCAACGTTGGTTAGTGCTAGAAAAACATTCTCCGAATGCCTCCCATTAGACCGTATCAGGTCACGGGAAAGACCATCTCAGTCTGGGACTGTGGAGCCCGCCTGAACTTAGAAGCGGCTGTGCTTGAGTCTCCATCTCATGTCCAGGAGAGGAACTGGTGGCCTTGGAACAGGATCTCTGCAATCCCTTTGGTTTCTCTGCTGGTTCCGATGGGAGCCCTTCTGTGGCTCATGCACCAGCATATCTGGTCAGCCCCCTGGCCCACCCTGGATTGCCAGCGGCTTCAAACCCTCCTGCTCTTGCTTCCGTGCCAGAAGGGCTCCTTTGAAGGCCTCGTTCACGAGACCCGGAGTGGCAGGTGGGCGGAGGATGTTCTGGCGGCATTCCAGTAGCTCTTCATCCAGCCAAAGCTATGACTCCTCTGGGTCCCTCCCTGGCATTTGGCAAGCTTGTTTTCCATTGTGACTGACTGGATTTCCTGCATGTCCCAGAACTGCCATCGCTCTCTGGATTTGTTCCCATCCTCTCCTGTCCATTCATCCATGCAGGAGGTGGGAGGTTCCTCCTCCAAGCTATCATCTCCAGCAGAATTCATGGGATGTCAGCGTCTGTGTTCTGCTCCTTCGTGTGGTCATTAGATCTTGTGGTGGGAATTTGGTGACGCTCAGGTGAGGGTCTTGTGATGGGTCTGATGAGCAGAACACGGACATCCCCTAAATTCTGCTGAAGAGGTTAGCTAGCGTGGAAACGAAACCTTTGGAAACCAACCTACAAGCTCAGAGAACAAACCTCCACCGTTATCCTCCACCTGAGCTAGAGATATTTGACGCCATTGCAAGCCATCCACGTATCTCAAAAAAGCCCTGGCATAAAACTCAAGACTTCCATTGGCTTGTGAGGTTTGTTTTCAGGAAAAAAAAGCAGATTTTCACAATTCGGTAGGCAGAACATAACTGCTTGGAGATTAGCAGAATGTAAAATAATCTCTCTGCACTTTGCTGTTAAAATCTTCTGCAATCTCACTGTTTGCGATCCTCTTAACCCGCAAACCAAGAGAGGAGCTGGAATTTCCGGAAAAGATCGGGGTGATAACAGGATGATGAGAACAGGAAGTTCCAGGCACGTGAGGAAAATAGGTTAATGGAGGGAAGCTCTTGGCATCCAGCACTTCCTTTCTGGGAGATTCTTTTGCAGTTGGTGGCCACAAAAAAATCCAGGGATCCTCTGTTTCTGCGCCGACCTGAAAAATGATCTGGTGTGTTGGCTTTCATGGCCAGGAGAAGAATTGAGGCAGCCTGGGATTTCAAGAAAACATCTTTAAAATGGCCAACGTTGGTTAAGTTTATGTGCCTTCCCTCTGCCCCCGGAGTGGCCCTTCTTCGTAGCAGGTTGACTTCCAAAACCAACCATTCCTCCCCTCCCCCCCGCCAACTCTGCTAGAGCTTTGTTTGCGTTGTAAGGGGGGGCACCTATAGTGTATATTCCTCTTTGGAATTAGCACAGCAGTAAATTTAACGCCCACACCTGTCTGGTTAGCCTGATAAACGTTGACTCTTCCTGGTGGCGTTTGTCAAACTACGTCAAGGTGCAATTCCTTTGAGGGCCGTTTTCCGTCTCCAGTTCTCCACTCTTCATTGTTGGCTGACCCTTAGCTAACAATGAAGGGAAGGTTTTGTATGTCGTTAGGCCAGCCAAGCCAGAAAGCCTGCCCCACATAGACGGGAGATGCGCTACTTGGGCATCCTCGGAGCCGCCTTCCAAGGTTGGATGCCGAGTGAAGGGTTCCTTCTGGGAACCAAAGGATGCCCCGCGTGGGACACGCACAGCAGCCATTCACGGCTCTTCCTGGGAGGGCCAGTTTGGAGCAGATTAGCAGCAGCAGAGAGCTGCAGAGTTTCTGAGGCTGGAGCGGCTTGGGTTTTCCCAGGCTGTGTCTCCCCCTGCTGAGTGAATTCTGACTTTAACAAGGCCGTTGGGTGGCCCGGAGCCTCGGGGCAGCTTTTATCCACCGAATCCCTTTTCTAGCTTTCTTTAAAAAAAAACACCTACACACCGTTTAATGTTTTCCTGCTGCTACAAAACAACAAACAGGCATGAACCAGGGTTTGTTTTTCGTTTTAATTGTCCATCAAAGACCGTGCAGAATTGATTTAGTTGGAAACAGTACAAATTCCTAAACCAAGTTGTATTTTAAACTGAAAATCAAGTCCACGCTCCAAGACCTTTATGGGGATAAAAGATTCTTATAAAACCTGTAACTTGAAAAAAAAAATAGACCAGTGTTTTTGTTTTAAATCCTACTTGACATATTGAAATTAGAAATAATTTGCATAGCTTTAAACTCAATTTCTTCTTCCTCCTTCCTTCTTATACGCCCACAGACACATGTGCTATTAATGCAAACTATGAGAATACTCTGTCATGGTGCTAAAATGGCATAATGCAACCAGAAAGTCTCCTTTCTCACCCAACCCCTCCTGATAACCCTAATCATGTCTGGATGTGTTTGTGTGAAAGTGTGCGTGCACGCATGCAGAAACAGTTTCTACTTGTGGCAAAAATCAAAAGTCAGCGATGCTTCTGGCCCACACAGCAAATGCTCCCAAAAGTGAAGCAATGCCCCACTGCAAATGGCTTATCATAGCCACAGCTGGCCATCATACCCACATCCACTTTGCAAACCCCTCAGGCATTGTGATTTCTGTACATCTGCACTGGTCTGGTCTGGATTCTCCTGGGTTGGCACAGAAACATTTTTATCTGATAACCTTGGTCAGCTCCGAGTTGCGTCTTGCAGGACCCAAAATTGCAAGTTTAGAATTTATACATCGCATCTGTCACCGAGGTGAGTGAGGAGCTGGCGAGGGTTGGTGAGCTGACATCGTAGCCCAGCTTCTTCATGTCCTTGGTCACCACGTTGAAGGAAACTGTGACGAAGCCTTGTGAGCGAACTCGGGTCACTGAAAAGGAGCAAACGGAGGCTTAGCAGGGCTATTACAAAGCAACCCCATTACTATGGATGAAATGGATCAGAGCCAAGATGCTTCTTGTTTGGGGTTCTGTGGCTAATAGGGCAGCCCCGTAAGCTGGCATGGGGCACAAATGCATGGCATTCTCCCTAAAGCTTGGAATTCTGCAGCTGAGCTCTGGCGGTCTTCTTCATGACATTCCTTGCTTTCTGCCCATCCTAAACTTATTGGCGGCTGGCATCCCCTGACCGAAGTAGGGATAGCCTCAACCATAAGCATGCTCTCACTCTTGGCAACATTTGGGCACACATTCTTCTCTCCAGGTCCAAGGGCATCTTTGCCCTCCAGAACACAGTAGGCAAAACCACAGAGCACTCCCAAGTACCTACCTTCACGGCCTTCGCCCTGGGCTACCACCTTGGGGTCAGTGAATTCGGGATATCTGCCCGTCAGCCAGCTGGGAGAAAGACGAAAGGGAAGGCTGAATCAAGTCACCCCACCTGGGGTTTATTCAGCCAAAGTCCTGAGGACTTCATGCCAACAAATGCCTGTACAGCTCCCTCCATCCTGGAATTTCTTCTTCCCGGAATATATATATAAATCACCACATTCTCCACCAAACTGAAAATTCATTAAACCTTTTTCACTAGTGATTTTCTCTGAAAAAGTGTGAGGGACGGAGCAAGAGGAGTGTATGATGGAGAAGCCCACCAACCAACCAACTGTTGCTATTTCAGCAGGCAAAAATATCTTGTTTTCAAAAGAGAACAATTCCTCAAAAGAAAAAAAATAGACAAAAGACGCAGTCACCTTGTTAACTTTTGCAGTCTGGAGGTTGATTCTGGAATGAACATTGGGAGGATCCTCTGGTGCCTGAAAACAGAATTGGGGCAATCCAAAAGTAGCGGGAGATTTGATCAACAGAAATAATGAACCCCGAATCTGGTCCTCCTTCCCACGCCAAACTTCGTTCTGCCTCTATCCCAGGCAGGTAAACAAAATCACTAATAAGGTGACTAAGCTTGTTTGCTTCCCTGAGTTTCTGGTGCCCCAAAGAATCAAATACTCTTGAATAAATTACAGTCCAAAGAAGGACGAGGGCTACTTTCACGCATCGAAACGGCACCAAGCGCCGGAACAAGTAAGAGAGGTTCGCCAGGGTTGGGACGATCTCACCTGCCAGGTGTAAAAGGGACGTGGACGGCTCCGTATCCCCGAACCACATCATTCCCAAAAAAATCAGGGCCATACACACTGATGACGATCTGTGGCCCTGCAAGGACAGAAAGGACCATAATCGCAGGCGAGTTTGGCCTTTCCCGCCTCCCAAAACAGTCCCCAGGCCCATCTCCCCTCCCCAAAGGTCCTCCCCACCTACAGCCAAAGGGGTTGGTACTTTTGAAGGTGACGTCGATGGGGAAGTTCCAGACCAGGTTTTGCTGGACATTCCGGCTCTTGGACGTGATCTGTGAGATGCCTTCTTCCAGGCCCTACGGGAAAGCCAAGGGGACGGAGCTAGAACCATCTTGGGGGCACCCAGAGCTGGCACAAGCAGAGAGGTTCAGCAGGGTGCCCCCTTCCATCTCTCATATTCTATGTTCTAAAACAGAGGTCTCCAAACCCGGCCCCTTTAAGGCTTGTGGACTTCAACTCCCAGAATTCTCCAGCCAGCTCTGCTGAAGTCCACAAGTCTTAAAGGGGCCGGGTTTGGAGACCTCCGTTCTGCAAGGTGACCAGGTGGTCTCACCTCCCCTTTTCTGCCTGGAGCCCAAAGCTCCATGCCACAGAAGTTGGAACCCTCATTTCAGCAGGTCCTCCTGTGGCCAAGAGTGACAAGCAGGAACCCACCCCGCCTTGTTTTTTTCTTTTAACCGCTTGTGCATTTCTTATTGGCAAGGAGGGGGCTTCAGGCTGCAAAGGGCTCGCTCTCTGGGGGTTGCCCCTGTAAGCGGAATCCCTTTCCCACAGCTAACACTGGGGGGGACCCACCGTAATCGGAGCCCAGTCGGGGCCGTACACGAAGCAGTACTTGCAGTAGAGCTCGTCAAATTCTGGAAACTGCAAAGAGGAGAAAGTCCGGGGTTTAAATCTGACCGGAGATCCAACCTTCCACTGTACCTACCAAGCCACGCGTGGAAAAGGACTCGCTTCTTCCAGCGGCTGACATAAAAGAAAACGGCCCCTTTCCCAGAAGGGTCTCCCTCTCTCCGACTGGTCTGTCTCACGGAGGGGGCAGAAAGCAAGGGGGAACAGAAGGGAGTGGGGGACTCTTTGCAGCAATCGCAGACGGGGCTGTTCAGACCTCAGGAGCGCAGAATGGGCACCTTCCCCAACTGGGCGCCCGCTGCAGCACCCTTAGAATACCCCCCCTCCCCAAATGTAGTTTGGGGGAGCTACGGTGCAAGGTGTCAGGATTCAGGGCGCAGCAGAACATCGCGCGCGATCAACCCTCCCGCATCGCCTTGCAGTTGCAAACTGCATCCGGGCGGTAAAAGCTGCACCCGTTGGGTTCCTGCCTAAAAAGCTGCACCGTTGGACGCCCATCTGGACCCCCTCCGATGGGTTTCCCTAAGCGCAAAAAGGGGGACCCGAGACTCAGAAACGGGGACGGGTGTCCTGTTTTTGCAAGACACCGGATTCGAGAATCCACCCCCCCCCCCAAATTGGACTTGGAATGCGCCACCGCATAGGCGGCGCCCGGGCGGGAGATACCAAGTCGCCCTCCGGGAGGGGGGAGGAAACAAAAGCGCGCCGGCTCGCCACGCCATTCGGGGAGCCGCTGGATGAAGCCGGCCCACTGACCCACCTGCGCACTCTCGACCTGTCCGCTGACCATGAGGAGGAAGACGGTGGGGTTGGCGGTGGGGTTGGTCGCCATCGGGCCTCGCAGAGCGGCAGGGGAAGGCCCGTCGCTAAGGGCGCGTCCTCCGCCCTCCCTGGCAACGGCGGACGGCGAGCCTCTGGGGACAATTTCCGCCTTTGCGCGAAAGGGCTGGACTTCTTGGCTAGGAGGATCTACGCCGTTCAGGCCCTTGCCCTGTGATGTGCACGCGGGAGCCTTTCCGACAACCCTAGCTAGTGACCTCAAGGGCAGTCCGGATTTAGCCACCCTACATTTGCCCGGCCACTTTGCGAGTAAACCTTCCCCGCTCCCCTTCACGAGGATGACACTCCCCTCTCCGGGGGGCCAACCAGGGAACTTGAACCAAAGCTGCCTCTTTAAAGCAGGGGTCTCCAACCTTGGCCACTTTAAGACTTGCGGGCTTCAACTTTAAGCTGGCTGGGGAATTCTGGGAGTTGAAGTCCCCAAATCTTAAAAGTTGCCAGACTCCTGCCTTAAAAGTACCATTCTAGCAACTGCATTCTATTCGCAGGGGGTAATATTTTGAGAAAGGTGGAAACGTGGCACACCTATTGTAGAAACATCTCTTAAACAGATGAAGTGACTGGGATTTGCACATTAAGGTTGAAAGGCTTTAGAAGAAAAAAGGCAACTATAATACCAGCAGTAATGGGGAGTTTGGGGCACTGTATGAAAGAGATTCACTCAATGTTTGGAGCTGTTGGATTTACTAAATTTGACACAGCAGCTTTGCAAAAACAACCAAAAAAATCCCTCGTGGACTGAGACTTCAACATGCTATGTATAGTGACTATATACTTCCCTGATGCTGAGCTGGCTGATTGAACCCAAATGGCCAGAAAATTCCAAGTCTGGAGACTGGTATTTGTAAGATGAAAAGATGAACTAACCACAAAAAAGAGGGCTTTCTTGGAGCTTAAAAGCTCTTAAATTTTGTTAGCGTTTTCCCTATTGTTATTGCAGGAAGCTTCTCTAAGCGAGGCTGGGTTTCTGCCACCACTAGATGTCCCTGTTCAATTATCTAATTCAATTATGACATGATTGCAATTTCTTTTGATTGTTGTGAGCTGCCCAGAGTTGTTGGGTTGTGGACAAGTTTAATCTTTCTCCATCATCACCATCTGTCTCAAGTGGTTTCCCAGTTCGTTACTTTCTTAATGCCCTGGATAACAACCTCCAGTCCAGTATATGAGATGGGCAGCAATATGAACCTGCTAAACAATAAATAAATAAATAAGCAGCCAGCCAACCCTTGGGTGGGAGCAGCGGGAGCCTTCCTGCAGCCTGTTTTTTCAGAGCGGAAAGTGTATGTGTGTATGTGGGGGGGGGGAGCGCTACTGACTCTGTGTGTGTGTGTGTGTGTGTGTGTGTGTGTGTGTGTGTGTGTTTTGCTCAGCTCCAAAATGTTCTGGGAACTGAGGAATATCTCTGTTTTTGTTGCTTTGGCTTTCTTATTTTGTTTCGGTACATGTGTAAACTGTGCTTTGTGGTTTTGTCCCCGCTTTGTCTATGCTTGCTTGTTGGAAAGCCAGTTGGAGGGCGATGCAGGAATTATTCTGGATAAGAAAAAATCTCCTTGGGCCGCCAGTGCTAACCTGCCTTCTGCAGCCTGCTCCCGTTGGAGGTTCTGGCCTGGGTCTTCTGCCACAACGCCTGAGCAGAGACAGCCCCAAATCTTGAGTCCTCCTGGCCTCCCTACTGGATGGGGAGAAGCAGCAGCAGCAGCAGTTGGCAGAACTTCTAATTGCTGGGTCTCTGGCTCTGATTTCCTGCTGGGCACCAACCCGATTAATCTCTTCTGCTCTCTCAAGAGTGACTGGCAAAGTGGTTGGGGAAGAACCAGCTCCTGGACGAACTATTCTGGGACTCTCGCTGGTCTCCCTTGAGTTCCCAGGCCCTGCTCGGTGTCCCGTCCTTAATTGGCAGCCTGGGAGACAGCGAACCAAGAGAGTTCCTTGTAACGGGCGTTGGAGAAGACCTGCCCTTTTGACCGTCACTTCATTAAAACGCCAGGGCATCCTCTTCTGAAGCTGCGGCGGCTTTGCTGCACGAAGAACTCTGGCCAAGTGCGTGATGGGTGTGTGTGTGTGTTTGTGTGTGAATTCTGCCGAGCCCAATTTGCGAAGCTCCCTAGACTCTCCCTTACCGTGTCAGCTTTCTTGATTTGGTTCCCCCAGGCAGGGCCGATGCAACGGCCGTGTCTGCCCCCCCCCCCGAAACCTTCTGGCCTCTTTGCTCATTTCTCCCAAATTCTGGCCCCAGCCACAAAAGCCACTTCACTGTTGTGAAAGCTTCAGAAAGGTGAAAGGGCTGCATTCAAGCAGCTTTTGGAAATTGGGGTAGGGGGTGGAAACCTGCAGCCCTCATCAAGCCTGCGTGGCCAAGATACCCCAATGCGAACAGGGGGGAAAGACCCCACCCCAGTGCACCTTTCAGTTGCTCCCAGGACCGTTGGTCACAAATGGTCACACCAGATCCAGATTTTTGCCTTCACTTTTGTTTTGGGTGGATTTTATTTAGGTGACCTTCTAGTCCTCTGTGCTCTCCTAGAAATTCCGACCCAGGAATGGAAGTATCTTCCATAGGAGAGGGGACTTGTGTGAGTTTCATCCGGCTCAATGATACCTTGCGGTGGTTGAGGACACCTGGGGGATTCCTGGCCAAGGTGTAGAAGAACAGCGATGGGTGTGTTGCAGCAGCACTAGCTAATGACCGCAAAACCTTGAAATCCATTATTCACGGCTTCACCAAGCAGGCCTAAGAGTTTAGGCCTTCAGTATGATCCTCTTAGTAGCCCCAGCCAAGGACCTCTTCATCTCTGTGTTCAGTCCACGATCCAAACAGGACTTTGGGTCTCCTGGGGGGGCAGCCCAGTTTATCGAAACAGCCCTTGGCTTCTCCCTCGGAAGGAAGGGGGGGGCATCAAGCCTGAGCAGGGGGGATTCCTGGAGCTGCAGCCCCCCCCCCCATTGCTTCTCTGCAGCAGCAGCAGCGTTTTGGTGGCAAACTGGAGTTAGCTTTGCTGGGGAACCTCAAGCGAACCCTTCCGGGGGATGTAGATCTCTCTGCTTGTAATTAGCAATCGCATTTCAGATCCCTCCTACACCCCCTTCGCCTTTGTGATGGCAGTGTTTCTTTGCCGAGGCTGAAAACATGATTTCCTCCTATTTCTCTTCTTCCTGCTTGTGCACAATGTTGTCTTGTATAAGAAGCATAAATCAAAGCCTTCTCTGGAAGAAAGCAAGTATATAAATCCTAATTCTTTCAACGGGGAGGAAAAGAGAGAAGACAAGGAGAGGCCTCTGCATTCCTGTCCCTCTTTGGCACAGTTGTTTCTGAAAGGCGCTTGGAGTACCTGTCCTCCTGCCTTAATAAATGACTCACTCCAGCACCAAAGAAAATGGTTTGGCAGTTGGGTGCTTCTTCCCAGGGACACTCCATTAACCCTCTCAATCCTGCCAGCCAGGAGGAGCGACTCTGAAACTCAGCTTGAGAATGGGGCCTCCATTGAGAGGATCAGCAACTTGGCCCTCTGGCCACATCTGGACTCTTCCTGGGCCAGGTTTACCACCCTTGGCCTGAAACATCAAGAGAAGGATGATCTCTGCTCCTTGGTCAACAGGTTGGTCAAGACTGGAAGACTGGTGGGCTTCCTTGGGCAGTTGGTTGGCCTCCGCAAGAATGAAGTGCTGGACAAGATGGGCCAAGAATCCAATCCAGCAGGAATGGCTTGGCTTCTTTATTTCCTGTCTGGAGTTGACGATTATCCTAAGAGTTGGCTGAGTTGCAGAAAGCTGCTGTATCTTTACATGGATTGTAATGATGAGTCATTGGTATCCGTCTCACCTGAAATAATGAGATGCTTAATGCTTAGAGAGGACAAGTCTAATTTTATTGACTTGAAAGTCTCTCTCTCTGCCTCCCTCCTTTGCTTAAAGACAGTCTCTCCTGCCCCTGAACAATTGTGGATGCGGTCCTCATTCAGTGAAAAATCATAATTTAATCTCTCATCGTGGAAAGATGTTGGAAGTGGCATAAAGGCTAATAATCTTCCTCAATATTTGTACAGGCTCTTGGGGATAAATAATTCAACTGACATTCTCCATTAAATCTGACTTCAGAAAGCTTTTACGCCAGGATACAGTAGGACATAATGGCTCCTATTCTTTTAAGTTTTCCTCTTGCAGCTCCTTCCTCTCTTCCTCCCCTTCCTTCCTTTCCTCCCTCTCCTCTTCCCTCCCTCCCTTTCCTCCCTCTCGTCTTCCCTTCCTCCCTTTTCCTTCCTTCCTTCCTTCCTTCCTTCCTTCCTTCCTTCCTTCCTTCCTTCCTTCCTTCCTTCCCTTCCTTCCCTTCCTTCCTTCCTTCCTTCCTCCCTTCTTTCCAACCTTCAGAGAACCTAATGGTATCCAATAAGTATGGAAAACAGATTATTTGCTGCAGCCAAATAACCCCCTGCTGCTTCCTCTATATTTACACCACCGGCCCAAACAAACACCAAGTTATATTTGGAGGGTACTTAATTTCTTTTTTGAGCTGATGGGTTGTTGTTTTTTAATCAAGCCACATGACTTCCCTGTTTGTTTGTGTGCCTTGGTTCGAATCCTTGGGAAAGAGGTTGGGGTCAGAAGCGATGCCTTGTCCTCCTTGTGTCTCTCTCAATGTGGCTCGGACCCCTGAGGATACGCATGCAAGGGAAGACCAACTCTCAGAGGCCATTTCCCACATTAATCATGGAGAAAAGGCATGTCAGTGGAAAACAGGACTGACATCTGGCAAGGCCTCTCCTCCCTCCCTCCCTCCCTCCCTCCCGGGAACATGTCCTAAGAGAAGAGAGAGAGAGAGAGAGAGAGAGAGAGAGAGAGAGAGAGAGGGATGCCTACTTTGGTCGTGCAAGAACCAGAATGGCTGCTTGGGATCCGCCCATCCAGCCTTCACGAAGCTAGTTTGGCCAACAGGTTGGGCAGGTCCAGGAGAAAGGAGCCGCATTTCACCTGTTGCTTGAACCCGGGGCCACCTGGATGCTTTGAAGATCACACCTTGCACACCAGTTTGCAAGACTCC